AACTTGTTAAGAGAACTAAAAGCTCAAACGAATATGGCATGGTTGTGTGTAGGTGACTTTAATGAAATTTGCCACCAATATGAGAAGTTCGGAGCTACAGATAGACCTTATAGGCAAATGGAAAATTTCCGAGAAGCATTTTTTGATTGTAATCTTAGTGAAATTCCTTTCAGTGGAGACTTCTTCACCTAGAATAATGGCAGAGAGGGATGGTATTTCACAAAGGAAAAACTTGGTAAAGGCTATGGAAACAAGGCATGGTTTGATTTGTTCTCAGATTGTATTGTGAATTCCTTAAGTGTTTCTTCTTCTGATCATAAACTAATTCTCATTCAAATTAGAGTAGAATTGGAAACAGAAATTAGGAAACATAGGCCTTTCCGATATGAAGCTACTTGGGATAATAGAGTCGAGTGTAGGGAGCTGATCCAAAGAGAATGGCTTTACAATTTAAATCCCAACTACAGTCTGCCAGGTGTTATGTAAGGACTCCAAAGGTGCAAAGAAAAACTATCCTCCTGGAGCAAAAGTACTTTTTGAAACCAGAGGAATACTGTGACAGACAAGCTTTCTCAGCTGAAGCATCTGGAAGACTCAAACAGAGGTGATAAAAAGGGAGAACTGCATCAGCTCAAACAAGAAATAGATAGACTTTTGGAAGAAGATGATATCAAATGGAAGCAAAGAGCTAAACAACAATGGCTAAAAGATGGGGACCGTAATACAAAATTCTTTCACTTGTGTGCTAACCAACGCAGGAAATCTAATGTTATCAAGCAAATCTCAAATGATGATGGCAGGTTGGCAAATAAACCGGAAGAGGTTAGCAACCTTTTTCAAGTTTTCTTTCAATCATTATTTTCTTCGTTAATGCCTGAGAGACTAAAGGACTGTATCCGTGTGGTTAAACCAGTTATAACTCCAGAAATGAACAGTGATATGGTTAAGCTAATTTCTAATGAAGAAGTTGAAAAAACTGTTTCCACTATGAATGGTTTAGGATCTCCAGGACCTGATGGATTTCCTGCCATCTTCTATCAGAAACATTGGCAGATCATTGGGCCTAGCGTGTGTGCTACTGTGAGAGACACCTTTTGTTCAGGGAGGTGGCCCCAGGACTTTAATGCTACCCTTATTGCATTAATTCCCAAAGTTAAAACACCTTCCAAAGTGTCAGAGTTCAGACCAATTTCCTTATGCAACGTCCTTTATAAAATTTTGGCCAAGGTCCTTGCTAACAGACTGCAAAAAATCCTGCCACATATCATTTCTCCATCACAAAGTGCTTTCCTACCAGACCGGTTGATTTCTGACAATGCTATAGTGGCATTTGAAGTCATGCATACTATGAATACCAGTATAAAAGGAAAAGATGGTTACATGGCGCTGAAGCTTGACATGAGCAAGGTGTACGACAGACTTGAGTGGTCTTTCCTGCAAGCAGTCATGCGTAAGATGGGTTTTAGCTCAACCTGGATCAAAGTCATCATGAACTGCCTCTCTTCAGTTATTTACTCGGTTCTCATCAATGGGATTCCTCAAAACCATTCAAACCTTCTCGCGGGATTAGACAAAGTGACCCTTTGTCACCTTATCTATTCATTATTGGAGCTGAAGCTCTTAGTAGACTCATCCAAGATGTTGAAGACAGAGGAGATATCAAAGGGGTTCCAATGAGGCATTCCAAAATGTGCATTAGCCACTTCTTTTATGTTGATGATTGTCTTCTCTTCTGTAAGGCTAACCAATTTGAATGGAACAGGTTGTTTAAGCTACTAGACACCTATGAAAAGAGTTCCGAGCAAAGACTCAACAAGGAAAAGACTTCTATATTTTTTAGCAAAAATACCAGAGATGATGTCAAGCAGCAAATTATCCAAGTGGCTGGGGTAAAATCCTCTCAACCTTATGACAGATACCTTGGACTTCCAACGTTGATTGGGAGGGATAGAACAAGAGGTTTCAAGCACTTCCTGGACCGAGTACGAGGCAAACTTAGTAATTGGAAGATGAAGTATCTATCACAAGCTGGGAAAGAAACTCTACTTAAGGCTGTTATTCAAGCACTCCCAACATATAGCATGGGTGTTTTTAAAATCCCAAAAACCATCCTACAAAAGCTGAACAGATTGACTAAAAATTTCTGGTGGGGTCAAAAGAAGGAAGAAAATAGAATTCACTGGTGTTCTTGGGATAAAATGACGCTGTCCAAGACCAATGGTGGATTAGGCTTCAGAGACTTAGAACTCTTTAACTTGGCTATGCTTGCCAAGCAGGGCTGGAGACTTCTTCATTTTCCTAATTCACTTGCTGCGAAAGTTTTATCTGCCAAATATTATCCTGAAGGTAAATTTTTAGATGCTAAAGTTAAAAGAACATCATCCTTTATTTGGAGAAATGTAATGGCAGCAAGGTCTGTTTTGGAATCTGGTCTGATGTGGCGCATTGGTGATGGGTGGTCCAAGGCCTAGATTTGGCAAGACAAATGGCTTCCTTCCTCATCTTCTTTTAAGATTCAAAGTCAATGCCTTGGTATAGACCCGGAGGCTAAGGTGGCTAATCTCATTGACCCCCAATCAAAATCATGGAAGTTGGATCTGCTCAAAGATTTGTTCTCTGAATCAGAAGTTAACATCATCCGTCAAATTCCCATCAGTGTCTTCAATAGACCAAATAAAATTGTTTGGAGATGCTCTCAAAATGGTATATTCTCAGTCAGGAGTGGATATCACCTGCAAGTGGAGTCCCAAATCTCATCCCGAGGCCAATCCTCTTCTGCAGCTAATGAAAATAAAGAGTGGAAGAAGCTATGGAAGCTTCCCATCACTAATGCCGAGAAGTTATTTTTGTGGAAAGCTTGCCAAGATATTCTTCCAACCAAGTGTAACCTTGTCAAGAAAAGGTGATTGAGGATCCTATTTGCCCTTTCTGTTGCTCAGAAGAAGAAGATGTCTTGCATGCTTTATGGGGCTGCGTTGCTGCTAAGGATATTTGGTCAAGTTGTTCTCTAACCTTCCAAAAGATGAATAACAATTAATTTCACTGAATTTAGAGAGCTCGTTATGGTTTTTATGTCCAAATTAGAGGAAAAGTTTTTAGCCGAATTTGGAGTGGTGGTCTCAAAAATCTGGCAAAGGAGGAACGAGTTTACTTTCAAACATTATATTTCTACTCCATCCCAGATCATTCACCATGCAACTCAAGAACTGGACATGTTAAAATCCTTGCTTCAATCGAAGACCTCTCCTAATGCTCACCCTCTGACTCTGGATCCCAGCTCACCAAGATGGCAGCCACCACCTGAAGGTATCTTCAAGGTAAACTGGGATGCAAGTGTGAGAAAGGAAAACTGCACAATTGGGGTTGGAATTGCAATTCGGGACTGGCAAGGTAGGTTTATGGCGACTATGTGAATGAAGAAAACCATGCTCCCAAATGCATTCTTGGTTGAGTCTTTCGCAGCTCTTCAAGCTGTCATTCTAGCAGCAGATATTGGAATCAACCAAATTATCCTGGAAGGGGACGCGCTTCAAGTAGTCAATGATCTCCTTAGGGATGAAGAGAATTGGGGCCAAGCTGGTCTTATCTCTAAGGATACTAAGGCACTTTCTAGGAATTTTCAAACTTTTTCGGTTCATCATGTTAAAAGAGCATCCAATGTGATTGCTCATACTCTAGCTAAAGATGCTTTAACCATTGATGATGTATTGGTTGAGCTTGAAGATGTTCCAAATTGTATTGGATCTTTAGTCGATCCTATTGAATGAATATAACTCATTTGATTTCAAAAAAAAAAAAAAAAAAAATACCAAATTTTAATAAGTGGTTGTTTCATGGGTGGTGTTACTTTTAATTTAATAAGTGGCGGTTTTATTATATTTGAATAAAATGGGTGGCTATTGTGAGATTGAGAGTTTCAAAGTAATTGGAGCTGTTATAATATTAATAAATTGGAGTAATTTGGAGCTATTATAATATTAAATTTGGAATGTCAGTTTGATTTTATTTTAAATAAAATGGATGGTTGTTACCATATTAATTCTTGGGAGAGTAACGTCCAAATAAAATTGTGTGTAAAAGGACTTAATCCTTTTTCATTTGTGAGATACTCCGATTATTTTAGCTCCCATTTTCATATTATGTCAAAACATTTTCAACTCTCATTTTGATATCATATCATCATTGCTCAATTACTTCTCTATTACAATTTTAAACCTATGTTAGAGTGTGCACTCCAAAATGATCATTGTATCCTAAAAGTCAGTCCGCTGTCGAGCCTTTTTGCACCACGAAGATTCTTCTAGTAAGGGTGGAATTTTGATCATAAGGGCAGTGCATTTGCACACCTTATGTTGTTACTCTTCATTTTTTCCTGATGTTGTTGCTCTTCATTTTTTTCCTGCTGTTGTTTAGTTGCTGTTTTGCTACTTTTTTTTTTTTTGCTGTTTTGTTTTTGTTTATGGGATTTGTAATAAATCCAACAAAAGCTATTTTTACTTTTTAGCTTACTATTTGATTTAATTAAAGTTGTATCATGTTAAGGAAAAATATTATATATCTTCCCATATATAATATAATGATCTAACATATTTGGTTAACAATGTAATGACTAAATCTATTAATTTAGGATTAATATCCACATGAAATTTACTCTCTTAAGTAAAAACCAACATCTACGTATTCTTTAATGAGAAATGAGCAAAGAAACCATTCGTTACTGATTCTCTATCATTTGTCAATTTCTTTTGGCTGAAAATTCAAATTTGTGAATTATTCCTATTTTGCTTATATTCTGATAAGAGTCCGTCCCTTCATGAACGATATGGTACCCGATTGGTGTTCTTCTAGATTTGTTTTGATTTGATTTTATCTAAAGAATGATATCGCACTCGGGTAGGTCGGACAATTATGAAATAGTATTGAAAGGCACATGTTTTTTATGTAATACAACCTTATAAATTCTAGCAATACTCACTTCGTTGAGAAGACCTCAACAAATACCATATTCAACACTCTCTCTTTCACATGGAGCTCGTCCTCCCCTCCTTCCCACTCCTTCTAAGCTTTCTTCTCTTTGTTTTCATGGTGCTGAGAATAAAGAAAAGATCCAAAACCAACTATGAAACTTCAAATCTTCCCCCTGGGCCACCGAAATTACCTCTTATTGGAAACTTGCACCAGCTTATTTCTGCCGGGTCTCTACCTCATCATGGACTGAGAGACTTGGCCAAGAAATATGGTCCACTTATGCACCTACAGCTTGGAGAAATTTCCGCTGTCGTTATTTCTTCGCCAGAGTTCGCCGAACAAGTGTTGAAAACTCATGACGCTATATTTGCATCAAGGCCTTACACTGAAATAACACGAATCGTATCTTATGATTTTAATGATATAGCCTTTTCGCCCTATGGTGAATACTGGAGAAAACTAAGGAGCATCTGTACGTTGGAGCTTTTAAGCGCGAAACAAGTCCAAAATTTCCGATCTTTAAGAGAAGAAGAGGTGTCTAGTCTTGTCAATTGGATTGCTTCAAAAGCAGGATCAGTGATTAACCTCACTGATAAACTTTTCCAGTTATCGTATGCTATCACTTCAAGGGCGACTGTTGGCAGAAAATGCAAAGATCATGAATTATTAATGTCTGTTATGGAGGAAACTATGAAGTTGCTGGGAGGTTTCGGTGTTGCCGATCTGTTTCCTTCAATTAAATTGCTCCAATCTATCAGTGGAAACGGGTCCAAAATGGAGAGGCTGCATCGAGAAACAGACAGAATACTTGAAAACATTATCAAAGAACATAAGATCTCTGACCTGAGTGAAGTAAATAAAGATCTTCTTGATCTTCTCTTGGAATTTCAAGGACGTGGTGATCTTCAATTTCCCTTGACTAGAGAGAACATCAAAGCCGTTATCTTTGTAAGTATTTTTACTTCTTGTACAGTGTTTAAGCACATACTTAAATATAATTAAACAGCATTTTTTTATTTCAAAAGGACTTTTTGCAAAAATGATAAATCGAGCATTTCAACTTTAATTCTGTATACTCAATATAAAAAAGAAAATAATAAATAATATCTCGATAATTACTTAAAAATATAGCATTAAAAAGTTTAAAGTTATGTGAAACCATGGTAAGAGCCCGAAGTGTTTTGCGATGACACGAGTCTCTGTTCTTGCCTTGTCCTTTATATTTTTTATTTTTGTCTTCCGTTTAACTAATTTGCTCATCAACTTTTTAATCGAGTGGTGTTGTTTAAGTCTTCACTAAATCTCTTTCTAAATCCTAATAATAATTAATATTTTAAGTTACAGTAATACAAAGTTCTGACACAATTTTTCACTCATGGTTTTCCTTTGACTCACTAAACTTCAACAAGTTTCAACTTAAATCGCAATACAAAGTTATTATTTGTCTTCATCATAAGTATAGGCTGTATAGGTGATAGGCGCACAGTGACAGATCAGGAGTATGACTTTAGGGGGCATCCAAACACAGATTTTTTATAGATAACATGAAATATTTTAGGGTTCATCCAGTATCATTTACAAAGTAATTTTTAAAGAGCTTGCTACAAAATTAAAGAAGAAATAGAATTTTGTTTATATTTCACAAAATTTTGGTGAGAATTTATTAGAAGTAAAATTTGAAAAGCAATATTACAAAAAGCGAAATAATCAAAATGCTTTTGGTATTCCCAGTTAGTATGAATCGAAGAATGACTCATACATTTTTAAATCGTTTTTTTTTTTTTTTTTAAAAACTAAAGACATTTTAGTTTTTTTTTTTCTTTGACCCTACACTTTAAAGATCGAAATTTTTGTTATTTCAATACAACAGTTAATGCAGTTTTTCAATGTTCTTAAATTTAGAATACGAAAATTATTGGTATAGATTATCAACAATATTTTCAAGATTATGTTATGTTAACTATTTGAAAGGACAAAAATAACATAAAACTTCCTTAAACTACTTTTTAATAAATAATTAGATTTCAATATATTTGAGAGTTTCATGTTTCTATATTGATTTATGCATGTATCAATTAATTTGAAATATTGACTGGTTTTGTTTGCAGTATGAATTTTCAATCTATCTTTATTTATACTATTTTAATTTATTCCCACTTGATTATAATACTAATAATATTCAAAAAATCACTAGAATTTATAATTAATATTATATATAGTTTAGAAGGTTTTGGTGTGACCAAGCTTATATAATATGCAATTATTGATGATATTTATAAATCTAATGGGGAAAAAAAAAAACCAAGGCCTGGGGTGTCCCCCTTTCCAGGATATATTATGATTTTAACTTCTTTTCCAGGATGTTTTTGCTGGTGGGGGTGATACAGCTTCAACAGTAATGGAGTGGACAATGTCTGAAATGATAAAAAACCCGAGATTGATGAAAAGGGCGCAGGATGAGGTGAGGGAAGTCTTCAATAGAAGAGGGAAAGTTGATGAAGCGGGCATCGAAGAAATGAAATTCTTGAAGCCAGTAATAAAAGAGACTCTGAGATTGCATCCTGCCGGTCCTTTGTTACTTCCAAGAGAAAATGGAGAGAGAGGTGAAATTAATGGATTCAACATACCTGCCAAAACTAAAGTCATCGTTAACGCCTGGGCGATGTCTAGGGATCCAAAATATTGGACGGAACCCGAGAGCTTCAATCCAGAGAGATTCCTTAATAGTTCTATTGACTTCAAGGGAAGTAATTTTAATTACCTCCCATTTGGTGCTGGTAGGAGAACTTGCCCAGGATCTTTTTACGGTCTGGCCAATGTTGAGATTGTGCTTGCGATGTTGCTCTACCATTTTGATTGGAAACTTCCTAATAGAATGAAGAATGAAGATTTAGACATGACCGAGGTATTTGGTTTGTCACTTAGAAGAAAAAATGATCTGTGTTTGATTCCCATTCCTTATCATCCATAGCCATAAATATAAGCAATAAATGGCTGTGTTAATGATAATCTATTCGACCAACCCAAAAAGACTACGGCCTGCGTGTGTGTGTTTCTATTTTTTTTTTTTTTTTTTTGGTAATATGAAGTCTGAATATGATTTGATATAAATTCATGTTTCGGACATTTTAAATATCTGTATTTTGACTAGATTGTGTGGTTTTTTTAAATAAATTTATAGCCATTGTAAAAGCTATATATATAATGAATAAAATCTTGGTGTGGCTTCTCTAAATGTTATTTTCAAAAATATTAATTACATATATTATTGATATGCCAAACGAAAATTAATAATATCAAAAGAATTAATGCCACTTATTGAAATTGCAATTATAGACATTATTATTATTATATAAAACTGAATGTTGGCTATAAGAATGTCACGCTTTCTACATTAAATAATTAAAATTACATATAAAACATTTTTATGGTCGAAGTCGGAAGTGATCAGCAGAAAATTTCTCGGTGCTAAAAATTTCAATACAGTCACATTTAATCCAATTACATATGTGGAACATGTATAATTTCCTTTTATAATCAAAACCTAAGTTAAAACAATTATACATGCGGCCTTCTAGATTGGCCTCTAGAGAAAAAAGAAAAAGAAGAGAAATTGAGTTTTTATTTTTTTTACCCGACTGTCAACTTTAGGGTCTCAGATGATTAGTTACTGTATACGCAAGCTAGCCCGAATACACCCGGTCACCAAAAAAAAATTGAATTTTTTTTTCTTAAAAGAGCTCACAATCCAATGGTGAATCTTCCTCCACTTTAAATGAAATCTCACTGTGTCGTTGATGATGATCTAGGTTACACATTGGTTTGTATCTGATAGAATTTGAGGTGGGTCTGACTCCTCACCCAATAAAGTCTTATTGAATAGGAATATTACCCCTTCTTATAAACGAGTAGGCTTAAGCGTGTCTAGTTGATGTGGGATTCGAACACTCCCTCTTACGGTAAGTTCATATGTTGGGTCATGTCTGTTATTGGAGGTAGTTGTCAACTCTAACTCCTCACCCGCTAGTCAAGCACTCAGCTCAACTGGACCTGGACTCTGATACCATGATAGAATTTGAGGTGGGTCTGACTTATCACCCAATAAGGTCTTATTGAATGAGAGAATTACCCCTTCTTATAAACCAGTAGGCTTGAGCGTACCTAGTCGGTGTGGAACTCCAACAGTATCTTCATTTGCTTTTTTATTTTGCTTCATTAGTGGAAGTACCCAAATTTTGTAGTATACATAGTGTTTTTTTTTTTTTTTTTTTCATGACTTCGCTAAAGATCAACAACTACAAACGAGGAAAAAAAAAGCCTTATTTTCTTACATATATCAATAAAACTTCCGCGAAAACATTCATGTACTCAGCAAACTGGACAAGAATATGAATAAAATTAATGACATAGTCGATACATTTAAACATTAATTCATTTAACTAGGTTCTATTATTCTTTGTTCTGTTAATTAATTACTCAATCTAACTTTATTCTTCAATGATAGAGTTGTTGGTATGTACATAACATTAGAATAAAAGGAGTGGAAAAATTTCTGAAACAGAATTCAAATATGTTCTTTCACTTTATTACAAGCACAAAACATAAACACTTACATAACGAGAAAAATAAACATGAAAGATTACCATAACACACTCAAATACATAATATTCCACACATTAATTATTAATGTTGTAGATATTAGACATTATGATGCTGTTCATCACCATCTGATCCATTACTTCCCCTTTGTGGGTTTCTTGATTTTTTGAAACACCTTTTCATCTTTTTTATGAGGCAGAATACTGTGCCAGAAGCAGAATCGCAATCAAGCAAATCCAAATATATAATACAGTAGTTGCAGCATATCCTTGCGCTATGTCCGTTTCATCTAATTCTGTAAAAGCATATATAGAGAAGAGATAAGCAACTGTTATTGCCGTGATTGCAACCCACAGGATCACCATCAAAATCTACGTAAAAAACCTGCGCTTAAAAAATGGTAAACCACTTACAAGCAGTTATATGATGGAAAGGGACGCAACAAACCCTATGGTGTTGAAAACGACAAAAATATTATAATAAGCCTTGTTTGAATCAGCCAGTATTGACTGCCCTGCCTTGTGATCTGGTTCAGATGTGGAGGCGCCAACTTGGAGTTGGCTAGTGTCTTGCCATACGCCACCAGGAGGATTCAGACCAGCTTGAAATGTGACAGTAGCATCAGTGATGCTACCACCATCAAGGCATTATTCATTTCTTTCAACCAATCATCTTTCTTCTCAACAGACTTTTCTGTAAGGCTACCTTGAGAGTGCAACATATTAATTTGATTATTGTCACGAGATTTTAAGGTTCTAATTTCGGTGGACCTAAGTTCTTGTGTTGATACAGCAATGTCCTCTGCACTAATTGCTCCCTTGTTTTGAAGCAACTCCACAATTTCAAAATCTTTCAAATCTCTTTTGCTTCGTGTTAGAATATCCAAAGCCGTAAAACCACCTTTATTAAGAGCATTCACTTTTATTGCATTATTAGTTGTCAAAACTTTATTGCCTGCACATTAAATTTCAGCGCTTAATGGGACAGTAAACTAATTTATTGGCATAAAAACATTCCTGAAGAATTTGTCAGCAAATTTGAGTAAAAGGCATGCATGTAGTAATGGTAATTATTGGTTCCCCCAGTGATAATCTTAAATATGAAACTAATTTAATTAGACTTTCACATTGATATTTTATATGAAAGACTATTGACTGTATGAAGTACTCTGTTCTTGCCAAACACAGTGGAAGATCATGCATTTTCATGTTAAAGCTATCGTCCTTCCCGACCCCAACCTCGCTTAATCTTAGAGTTTCTTTGAGACAAACATATGTCATATGCACTATTAACTTTAGGTGTAGTCAATTGTAGAAGAAAATCTAATTCCAATATTAGCCAATACGCAGGTAAACGAAAACGAAAATACATGCATTAATTATACAGTCTAACTCCTTAAACGTACCTGAACTTGTTTTTTCTGCCACAGCTAGATGCAAATATGCAATAGAGTGTTGCCATCATCATCCTCAGAATTCATAAACTCATGATCGTTTATTGCCTCCACCAAGAACTCCATTGCCTCCAGCTGGTCAAACCTCACGAAGGCATGTAAAATTGTTTCACCTCGTTCTGTCAACATTCGAGCCGCATTAGGTCTCCCTTTAACGAACTCTTTTATGACACTAACATGACCCTTGATGGCTGCAATATGTACAGGGTTTTTTCCGTCACGATCACGAACAAAGCACATTTCAGGATTAACTGATACCAATATTTTAACTATATCTAAGTACCCTTTTGAAGTTGCTAAGTGAAGTGGTGATGATTTACGGGAATCAAACACTCCGGCTAGCTCAGGCTTTCGACCAAGAATTTCCTGCACAAATTCTGCATGACCAAGCATGGAAGCTATGTGCAAAGGTGTCTCTCCATAACAGCTCACAGTAATTCTATCAAGAATTAGAGCATCCTCTTGAAGCAAGTTAAACAACGAAATTATATTCCCCTCTACCGCTGCTTCATAGATTCTTCTTTCCATTTTTTTGTGATAATGACTCACAAAATTCTTTCCCTTTTAGTGTTTTATCATACGTGTTGGAATTGTCGACTACTTCAGCATTAATGGGTTATGCAGATGCATTCGGGGGTCCTGCTCCTCAGTCAGCGGGTGGGGGTCATGAGGGTAGTGTCCCCGGGCCCTAGGCGGTTTGGGCCTTTTCCATGAAGTGCCACCGAAAGATTTGTTTAAGTTATTAATTCCTCATTGGGTTTGGGCTTGGATAGAAATTCTTGTAAAACTAGGTTTAGTTTCTTAAACCTAGTATATAAACATATTCTTCTCTTGTTATGAGTGCGATACCAATCATAGGGCAATTCATTCATTTTAAACGAGAGAGGTGAGGCAGTATTGCAATAATATTGACTCAGCTGGACGTAGCTAATATTGGGTGAAACAGGGTAAATTGCACATATTATTTTCTCTATTTACTGTCAGTGATTTGTTTTACTATTATTTTGTTCTTGTATTTGTCTCTATTTCATTCAATTGGTATCAGAGCTTTCAGGTTAGTTAGTTGTGATTTAGAGATGACGGGATCAAGGGTTGAAATTGAGAAGTTCGACAGCAAACGCTTTGAGCTTTGGAAACTGCAAATGGAAGATCTGCTCGTTGATAGGGATTTGTGGGGTGCAATTGTGAATGATAGGCTGACAGTCGGGATAGTCGCTGTTACAACGAGTGAAACGTCTGGAACTGCATCGTCAAGTACGCTTGGGTCTAAACCTGCAATGGCATCTGGAGGAGAATTATCAGCGACTGATTGTGCCATACTTGCAGAATGGGACAAGATGGATCAAAAAGCCAGAGGTTTGATTCGCATTTGTCTTGAGGACTTCGTTCCAACGAATGTGATGGATCAGGATACGGTTAAGGGTTTATGTCAGAAGTTGGAAAAAATGTATCCGAGTAAGTCTTTTGTGAACGTGTTGTTCCGTGACAAGAAACTCTACAATCTTCGTATGCATGATAGGGATTCTTTTGCTGCACATTTAGATGATTTTAATACTCTGGTGAATCAACTGTTGGCTGTGGATGTACAATTCACCGATGGTGAGAAAGTGGTAACATTATTATGCTTGCTACCGGATACATGGGACAACTTGATTATTGTGATTGGTGGTGGAGGATCGACACAGATGTCGTGGGAAACTATATGTTCTACATTGTTGGTAGAGGATATGCAGCGAAGAGGTTTAGAGGGTTCGTCTAGGGATGCTTTAACAGCTAGGGGGGATGAAACTTTGATAGGAATTCTAATAAGTCTGGCGACAGGGGAAAGTCGCGAGGTAGATCTAAGAGCAAGGATAAAGGTAAGATTAAATGTTGGAGATGTCAGGAATTCGAGCATTCTAAGAAAGATTGCAGAAACAAACCAGTAAAAGGGAAGGAAGTTGAAACCTCATGTAAACGAGAATCAAATGGTGATATGTATGTGGCTGCTACGTGTATAGCTAGATCGGACCAATCAATTTGGTATGTTGATATTGGTGCGTAATTCCATATGACGCTTTATAAGGAATGGTTCTATGAGTATAAGGCATATAATGGAGGAAATGTTCTATTAGGAGATGATACTGTTGTGAAGATTGTTGGCCACAGGAAAATCAGGCTAAGGTTG